ATGCCATTTGTTTTTTTAGGATAAGGTTTGGGAGGGTGGAACAACTGGTATCTCAGAAAGGATATTCAGGTATGCCCTGAGCCACTGAACTCTTAGAACTTATCAATAAATTTAGTACCTGAATCTTAATGACATCTTCTGGCTTGAGAATACTTACCACTCACATAATGGTTTAATCAGTATTGGATCCAAGTGTGACACTGATATCATTTGTACATTTGTGTCCTCCAAATCTCATGTTGAAATGTGATCTGCAGTGTCGAAGCTGAGGCCTGGTGGCAGATGTTTGGGTCATGGGAGCAGATCTCTCCTGAATGGCTTGGTGCTGTCATGGCAGTAATGAGTGAGTCCTCACTCTGTTGGTTCCTGTGGTATCTGACTATTAAAAAGAGCTGGCACCTTCCTCCTTCATCTGTCTCCCTTCCTTCCTCTTGCAATGGCCATGTGATGCCTGTTCCCCTTCCATTTCTGCCCTGAACCAAAGCTTCTTGAGGCCTCACTAGAAGTAGTGCTGGTTGTACAGCCTTCAGAGCTGTGAGCCAAATAAACCCCCTTTCTTTATAAATTACCCAGCCTCAGTTATTCCTTTATAGGGATGCAAAATGAACCAAGACAGATGTTCAGAAAAGTATTACATTAAATAGGATATCTGTGACCTAATTATAACAAAGAATAGAGAGTTGGCACAGATGGAGTGCAAAACAGTGAATATGTCATCGGTTATGTGAAGAGAAACTGCTTTTTTCTTCCTATTGAGAAGAATGTGCTTACCTCAAGTTGCACATGAGCACTAGAGAGCACGTGTTGGTCTCTTCTGGTGGTGATACCACATCTGGCACAATAGTATTAGGTTGGTGCAAAAGTAACTGGTTTTTGCCCTTGAAAGTAATGGCAAAATACAAATAGCTCCTGAACTATACTTGGTTATGTTTTTGGCTGTGAACCATCATTCACCACAATCCAACCGATTTTTGAAGGAGTGAGAACACCACATTGAATGGGGATATGAGAAGAGATCCCAATCCTGCATCCTTTAAGTCTTTGATGGTGTCAATCTCTGAAATTGTTCCTGGAATGCAGTATTGCTTATTTAGTAACCTGGATAGTAACCCTGGACTACTATCTGGTCCAGGTTGTAGTTGATACCCAAGTCCCCACCCACTTTTGGGACCAAGGTACTTATACCCCCAGCTTCAGGGAGCATCACTTGGTGATGGCCAACAGCTGAGGCCCTCTCTAGGATTTTCTTCTTTGAAGAAATTTCCTCTCACAACGTTACAGCCACACCTCACAGGTTCCCCCTTCTGGTTATTTGTATAGAAAAATCCCACAAAATCAATGAAAAATTTGTTATAAGTGTAGCAGACATTTAGATGATCAAATCAAGGAGAAACTGTTTATAACAACATCAAAGGATATTTTATATATGGAAATAAAACTAAAGAGTTGATGTGTAAGACCTCTACAAGGAAAGCAGTAAAATGTTATAAAGAGATCTAAAGTAATATATGAATTGATTTGTAGTAATTATTTACAGATAGTTGATACTCCTTGTCACATGACCCTGTAATAAGCCTGAGTATTATAAAGATTCCAAATTCTTCCCAAGTTGATGTATGAAGGCAATACAAATCCAATTAAAATCTTTGTGGTATTTTTTTTTTTTTCATGGAACTGAGTGATATAATTCTAAACTTATAAGAAAAATGGCCAAGAATGGGTAGGGCCCTTCCGAAGAAAAAAAGCAGAAAAGAACCTTGCCCTAATAGACTTTATTATAAAATTAATTATGAAAGTGTGATGTTGGCTCAGGATTATGCAATTGATCAATGGGACAGAGTTGTTCATAAAAGATCCATGCATGTAATATATCAGAACAGTCAGAAGAGATGGCAGGATATATGGAACTGGAAAAACAGCTATCATTATGAAGAAAATGAATTGGACCATGACCTCATACAATATACTCCACTTAACTGCAGCAGCATTAAAAAATTACATGGAAAAACAAAATATAACTACTTTTTAAAAGAAAGTATAACTATCTTGTACATTTGAGTAAGGAAAGTTGTCTTAAATAGGATGTAAGAAGCTTTGTTTATGAATGAAAAAATAGCTAAATATGACTATATTAAAATTTAGATCCCTTGTATACCAAGAGTTGTATTAAAGGAAGTGAGACAATTCATTAAACTTTCACAGACGCACAACTTAGCATCAAGTGTGTACGTACGTTTACAAAATGTGTACCTAGAACATTTACAAAACAATGAGAAAAGCAACTCATTGGAAAATAGTTGCCAAAAGCAAAGAGGCATTTGATAGAACAGGAAACATATTTTGCCAATAGAACATAAAATGAGATTGTTCACATCATTAGTGATAAGAAAAATGCACTTGGACACCTCAGTGAGACAGTTTTACATGCTTTTGATTTGCAACAATTAAAAATTTGACATCCTATTTCTCTGTTCTCACACTGCTAATATATACCTGAAACTGTAATTTATAAAGGAAAGAGATTTAATTGACTCACAGTTCAGCATGGCTGACGACGCCTCGGGAAACTTACAATCATGGCGGAAGGGGAAGCAAACATGTCCTTCTTCACATGGTGGCAGGAAGTAGTGCCAAGCAAAAGGGGAAAAGCCCCTTATAAAACCATCATATCTCATGAGAACTCACAATTACGATAACAGCATGGAGGTGACTGCCCCATGATTCAATTACCTCCCACCGGGTCCCTTTCATGACAGATGGGGATTATGGGAACTACAATTCAAGATGAGATTTTGTATGGGGACACAGCCAAACCATATTAGATACTATCAAGTTTTTAGTAGATATAGACCCACAGAATCTCTTAGATATTTCTGGTGACGATCTCAAATGGCACATCTTTGGAAAGCAGATTGGCTGTCTCTTAAACCTTAATATTTATCTTACGACCTAGTAATTGCAGTTCTGGATGTATCTAAAAAAAAGTGTACATGTTCAACAGGAGACATGAATGAAAATGTTCACATGTATGAATGCTATTCACAAAAGTAAAGACCAGGAAACAACCCAACTGCCCATTCATGGAAGAATGCATGAATAAACTGGCAGATTTCACAATGGTGCCTCAAACAACTGAATTGCAAGTGGCACAGAGCAATGTGGATGGTTTTAGCTAAAAACATTAAATGAAAAACTAAATTCTATAAGATTAAACACAGATTTTTAAAAAAGTAATAACCAAGTTTAAAAAGATACATATACATATACTTTTGGGGAATATATATATATAGATGCAATTAGCCTCCATAAAACAGTAAGAAAGAATATTATGGACGTGGCTTCATGATGGTGGTTAAACTGGGTGAGGGAAGGAGAGAAGATGGCAAGTAGCTGGTTATCTTCATTGTTGTAGCATTTATTTTAGGTGGTGTATTTGAAAGTACCACATTGTGAGGGAGAGCTAATAAAATGCCCATTTATGGATGAATGATAAAATCATGCTGTGAACAAGAATTAGAATCTAATTCTGTTCTTTGAGTTCAAATGGTGGCAGAGGGAATACAGTTTCTATCTTTGTGCATGCATTATTTCATATATGTGTAAGTATATCTATAAACTATACCTGAAAGAATTTTTAGTGAAAGAATGTTTGAATTTTAAATGTTGGTAGATAATGCCCAAAACTTTACAGAGATTGAACTTACACTCCCTTCAGCAATACATGAGAGTACTGATTAACTCCCACTTCTATCAATACAAAATGTTGTCATAAAATTGAGATTCCTCAGTGTGAAAGAAGAAACATGCCTCATTGAAATTATTACTGTGCATTACTGTTGAGAATTATCTTTTATTTGAGAACAATTCATGTTTCCTTCTCTGTAAAATGTCCAACTTTTTATCTTGTTTGAATTATTTCTTTTTGATTCTTAGATCTTTATATATTAAAAAGACTAACCTTTCCAATGTGGCAATATTGCAAATACTTCTCCCAATTTGTTTCTTTTCACCTTGAGTTCTATTTTTTAGCTATGTAGAAATTATGTATTTATTTTTGTAGTCAAATTTGTTAGTCTTCACTTTTATAACATTTGGATTTTATGCCTACTCAGAAATGTCATCTTGCTTATGACTTCTTGCTTCTTGATTATTTTTAAAAAAAGTTTCTCCCTTTTAATATTTTAAATCTCATTTTCCAAGTTTAAATGTTTGTCCCAGCAGGTATTTCTTAGATGTCAGTAGTGCAATCGATCCTCATTTTTTCCAACATGTCTGTCTAGTTATCCTAACATCATACTACAATTTTCTCCGATGTTTTCAAAATGTCATCTTTATTATTTACTAAGATTCTCTATGTACATGCATCTATTTTTGCATTTTTCTACCATGTTTCATTGATCTGTTTGTCTATTGATTGACAGTGTCACATTGTTTATTTTAGGCAGTGCTTTATTGTCTGGTAAGCAACAGGTTTTATTATTACCTGCATTGTATAGATTTTATAGATTGTGTGATAATTGGGATAGGTTTCATTGTTTTTACACTTCTTTTTCATTTAAGGGACATATAATTTTCTGCTGTCATTGACTGGAATTAGCAACGTGACTTGCTTTGGCCAATGAACATGAGTGGTTCTGGGGCGCCCTGACCAGTCCCACTTGATAGAGGCATCTGTCCTGCCATTGTCTGGCTCCTTGCTATGTCACAGAAAGGGCATATCTTAGCAGGGAACAGGGATGGGGAAAATATCATTTGAGATTTGCTTACAAATACAGTGTAGTTCATTCTTACAACTTTTTAAGAATTTGGCAGTTGCTTCTCACCTGTTGATATGGTTTGGCTGTGTCCCCACCCAAATCTCATCTTCAATTGTAGTTCTCATAATCCCCACATGTTGTGGGAGGGACCTGGTGGGAGGTAATTTAATCATGGGGCTGTTTCTCCCTTGCTGTTTTGTGATAGTGAGTTCTCATGAGATCTGGTGGTTTTATTAGGGGCTTTTCTCCGTTTTGCTAGGCACTTCTCCTTCCTGCCATCATGTGAAGAAGGATGTGTTTACTCCCTCTTCTGCTGTGATTGTAAGTGTCCTGAGGCCACCCTTGCCATGGGGAACTGTAAGGTAATTAAGCCTCTTGCCTTTATAAATTACCCAGTCTCTGGCAGTCGTTTATAGCAGTGTGAGAACGGACTAATATACCTGTTTATATGGATTAACTTTTAAAAACATGATTCGAGGTTGGATGTGGTAGGGCATGACTGTAATACCAGCACTTTGGGAGACTGAGGTGGGAGGATCACTTGAGGCCAAGTTTGAGTCTAGGCAACACAGTGAGACCCCGTCTCTACAAAAAATGCAAAAATTAGCTGGGCGTGGTAGTGTACACCTGTGGTACCAGCCATCGGGACAGAATAAGAACGATGAGGATGAGTTCTGCTGTACAGGAGTTACCATGATGTGCTACACGACTCAGACCACAGTCACATTTCTCCCAAGGCTTAAAGTGTTTTAGGGATTCCAGCAACTTTTATTTTTTACTTGTTTTCATAGGACCAATGCTGTGTTACACTTTCAGCTTTTTTCTGAGAGTATAGACACATGATTGTTTTGATTTCTTTCCTAATTACTCTTCATTTCAGTTTCCTCTGCATAGCTTTTCAGCATGAGGCTGTGGTTTGACCTGGGGACATTCAGAATGACAGCCCTTGTCACAGCAAACATCAGAGCCCTGCCCCAGATGTCAAGCCTCCTCTCTACCCATGGCCTGAGGGCTCTGCCTGCTGATTCTTCAGCCATGCCAAACCCTTCTGCCTCCTGGCATGCACAGGCTGGTGTTTTTTTTTTTTTTCTTTTTGAGATGGAGTCTTGCACTGTCACCTGGGCTGGAGTGTAGTGGCACAATCTCAGCTCACTACAACTTCCGCCTCCCAGGTTCAAGTGATTCTCCTGCCTCAGCCTCCCAAGTAGCTAGGATTACAGGGGCCTGCCACCATGCCCGGCTAATTTTTTTTATTTTTAGTAGTGAGAAGGTTTCACTATGTTGGCCAGGCTGGCCTCAAACTCCTGACCTTAGGTGATCTGCCCACCTCAGCCTCCCAAAGTGCTGGGATTACAGATGTGAGCCACTGTGCTTGGCCCAGGCTGTTTTTTAAATCTTGACTTTGATAAGTTGAAATTAAATTGAAATTAAATTTTTGTTCAGAATGATGGAAATTACATAAAACAAGGTAAGAATGTCATGCCTCATCATTAAAAGCACATTTTAATACTATTGAAAGCTTTAAAATTTTTGGCTAGCATGAATGATCTGGAGTCTATTGGCTGTTTCGTGTTATTTATTTCAGGCATCTTTGTCCCATGTTAAATGATGAATTTTTAAAGGAAAACGAGGTCATAAACCTTTTCCCCACAAATGCCAAAACATTGTGGAAACAACCTGCAACTTATATCTCTCTGGTAATTTCAGATAGCACAATATTTATCTTTTCAATAGGCAGGGCTAGAATGGCATCTTTGTATTTATTTATTTATTGTTATTATTATACTTTAAGTTTTAGGGTACATGTGCATAACGTGCAGGTTTGTTACATATGTACACCTGTGCCATGTTGGTGTGCTGCACCCATCAACTCGTCATTTACATCAGGTATAACTCCCAATGCAATCCCTCCCCCCTCCCCCCTCCCCATGATAGGCCCCGGTGTGTGATGTCCCCCTTCCCGAGTCCAAGTGATCTCATTGTTCAGTTCCCACCTATGAGTGAGAACATGCGGTGTTTGGTTTTCTGTTCTTGTGATAGTTTGCTAAGAATGATGGTTTCCAGCTGCATCCATGTCCCTACAAAGGACACAAACTCATCCTTTTTTTTTGGCTGCATAGTATTCCATGGTATATATGTGCCACATTTCCTTAATCCAGTCTGTCACTGATGGACATTTGGGTTGATTCCAAGTCTTTGCTATTGTGAATAGTGCTGCAATAAACATACGTGTGCATGTGTCTTTATAGCAGCATGATTTATAATCCTTTGGGTATATACCCAGTAATGGGATGGCTGGGTCATATGGTACATCTAGTTCTAGATCCTTGAGGAATCGCCATACTGTTTTCCATAATGGTTGAACTAGTTTACAGTCCCACCAACAGTGTAAAAGTGTTCCTATTTCTCCACATCCTCTCCAGCACCTGTTGTTTCCTGACTTTTTAATGATTTCCATTCTAACTGGTGTGAGATGGTATCTCATTGTGGTTTTGATTTGCATTTCTCTGATGGCCAGTGATGAGCATTTTTTCATGTGTCTGTTGGCTGTATGAATGTCTTCTTTTGAGAAATGTCTGTTCATATCCTTTGCCCACTTTTTGATGGGGTTGTTTGTTTTTTTCTTGTAAATTTGTTTGAGTTCTTTGTAGGTTCTGGATACTAGCCCTTTGTCAGATGAGTGAACAGGCAACCTACAGAATGGGAGAATGGCATCTTTTTAATATTTTCTGGCTGCCAAGATTTCAAATATGTGTGGAGTTGTGAAAGCAGCCAGTGCTGCCATGAGCTAAAACATTCCTCAGGTGTGACGTATTTGGAAAAGAAATGTTGGGAATATTTGAACCTATACTAATGGGATGAAACCCCACCCCTTTAGAGTTTAGTTACCTTGTGTGGTAGGTATATGTGCATGTGTGTATATGCATGTATGTAGAACATCTATTACAGACTGCCCCCCTACCCCAAGACAGAGTCTTGCTCTGTCATCCAGGCTGGGGTGCAGTGGCACAATCTCAGCCCACTGCAAACTCCACCTCTCAGTTTCAAGTGATTCTCCTGCCTCAGCCTCCCAAGCAGCTGAGATTACAGGTGTCTGCCACCACGCCTGGCTACTTTTTGTATTTTTAGTAGATATGGGGTTTCACCATGCTGGCCAGGCTGGTCTCGAACTCCTGATGTCAGGTGATCCACCCGTCTTGGCCTCCAAAAGTTCTGGGATTACAGGCGTGAGCCACTGAGTCTGGCCTATTACAGCCTTCTTAATGCAATCATAAAAATTTTTAGCTGTGCTAAAATACTTCCTATTTTTAGCAAGATTCTATAGAGTACATCATAGTCAAAGTTTCATTTTCATTTTTTAATCCATATTTTTGGCCCTTTCTTTGTCTACTGCACTATTCTTTCCTTGTTCCAATCTGTTTTGTAAGGGTCTTGGGCTTTTTATAAGTTTCATTACTTCTTTCAAAGATGTCCCATTCTTCTGTATGCATGCATTCAAGGGCTAAATTTCAATTAAAATTGTCATCGAAACTAATTATAAGAAGAGCTTCTTATCAATGGGCCCTGTACATTCTCTCAGTTATTTTTGGGAGAGAACTTCCTGATGAGAAAGGTGCAGTGGCTTTGCTACATGACTGTATCTGCTCTGATGACTCTGCCCTTTGATGTCTACATTTGAAATTAGTGATAAAAGTTTAAAGCCCCTAACCTCTCAGCTGGAGGATCATTTCAGGTTGGATTACAGCAGAAGTTGGCAGAATAATTGACTCTTCCATCTGTCCATTGTAACACTATTAAACATCTTCCCTAACTTTGGTGGCCTAGAGTTTTACAAGGTGATGATTTTGTACCTGGTCATGATTTTCTGGTCAATAGATCTTTATGTTCATGGACATGTAGCTGCTGCATCTCAGGCACTAATTTATTTTCATATTACTTCATTCCTTGGGCTTTATTCAAGGGCTTTGTTCCCTATATATGGACTTGTTCTTTCATCTTTGGAGATTTTGTAGAGTATACTATATTCAAAATTCCTCAAAGGGGCTATTTCTTCTGTGATAACTTTGATTATCAAGTAAAGTAGATTTTCCCACAAGAAAATGTTTATTGAGTTTAATATTTCCACTACTATTAGATGATTATCTCTCCTTAATGAAATATTTAAATGCTTAATGGAAGATATAACTAACAATTATGAAGAGTTTTTAAATTCTTGAACGGGGAATGCTTCAGAACATGTGGTATCATGTGTATTCTGTGTATTTTCTATTAGTCTAACATATGCTTGCTGCAGTACAAAAGAAAAAATTAATGACCCAACAAAAATAGTTGTTTTACTTGTTTCTTGCTTCTATTACAACCTAATGCAAGTGTGTGTATGTATGTGTGTGGCCTTCTAGGATAACTCAGAAATCCAGGCACCCTTTTTTTTTTTAAATGTGCTGCCATGTAAATACAAGTTCTTCAAAGTCTCTGTGAAAGTAGGAAGAACTGGGATGGTTGAGAGTGAGTTTTAGGAGCCAGGTGTCATGGCTCATGCCTGTAATCCCAGCACTTTAGGAGGCTGAGGTGGGCAGATCACTTGAGGTCAGGAATTCAAGACCAGCCTGACCAACATGGTGAAGTCCCAACTTTACTAAAAATACAAAAACTAGCTGGGTTGGTGGTCTGTCCATGCCTGTAATCCCAGCCACTTAGCAGGAGGATCACTTGAACCCAGGAGGCGGAGGTTGCAGTGAGCTGAGATTGCACCACTGCTGCACTCCAGCCTGGGCAACAAAGTGAAACTCTGTCTCAAGGGGGGAAAAAGGTGTGTTTTATGGCCAGGCCTGAAGTGGAGCACATCACTTCTGCCCCTAACTCACTGAAGCAGAATCCAAATCAGCTGTGAAGAAGGCAGGTGATGAAACATAATTGGTAATTATTTAGGAAGTCCCTGATACATTCTTGTTATGGGCTGATTTTTGTCCTCTGTTCCCCCATGAAAAATTCATGTGTTGACATCCTAACTTCAGAATGTGACAAAATTTGGAGATGGGGCTTTTAAATAAGAGATTAAGTTAAAATGAGGCTTTGAGGGTGGGCCCTAACCCAACTGGACTGGTATCCTTGTTAAAAAACATGACGACACACAAAAAAGAGACACCAGAGGTGCAACACCACATGAAGATGTAGGGAGAAGGTGGCCGCCTGCAAGCCAAAGAAAGAGGCCTCAGGAGGAACCAACCCTGCCGATGCCTTGGTCTTGGACTTCCAGCCCCCAGAACTGTGAGAAAATAGTTGGCTGTTTAAGCCTCCCAGCCTGTGGCACTTCCTTATGGCAGGTCTAGCAAACTAAAGACATGCCATAAAAGAATGACACATAATTTATAATTTGGGTAAATTGACAGTTTTGTCATAGTTCTTGCTGTTTAAGAATTTTCCATTTATTTAAGCCATTTCTTAGGACATTCTATATGGATCTGTAGTTTTCTTCATGTAGTTATCACATCTATTTTAAAGTTTATTTTCTTGTCAACATTTAGTAGTTTTTGGGAAAAGGATATTTATCATGTTTTCCTAATGATTATCTATGGTATAAAGGGAAGCAGTTGGTTTTTGTATATTATTTTGTAATCCATATATCCTAGTGAGGTCTCTTATTAATTCAAACACATTTTCATTTGTTTCTCTCGAATGTTGCAAGTAAAAATTATATCATTCTGTTCATGTGGTAGCTAACCTATGCTGAATGCGTTTTAATAGATTTTCTATATTTTGCTTGTTTAAAATGCAAATGAGTGAAAGTACACAAGGTTCCCTTTCATGCCTGTCAATTTCTCTTTTTTAAAAATCAATTTTTGCATTGTATATTTCTATGCTATGCATTTTTGAAGGGATGTTTTTCTGTTATATATTCATAATGAACAGTTATAAATGTCTTTTTAACTTTGAATTCTACATTTTTTTTTATACTGTAATCCTTGCCTTTTGGTTATCATTGCTTGACATAGCTTATGAATACTTAATTTTAACATTTGTCGATTGCTTTGTTTTGGTGGTGTTGCTAGCTTATTTTGGAAATTAAATAATCCAGCCTGAGAGTCTTGCTTTTGAAAGAGCAGCTTTTCCCATTTTTCCTACAATCTTAACTGACAGTCTCTCTCTCTTCTGTCATCTTTTAATGCCTTCTTAGTCTTTCCTTATTCCTTTTATCACGAATGAGCTTCCTCACCACTCCTTTCCTCTGTCTGTAATATAGAAATGATATATGCTGTTTGTTAGGGACTGACAGTTTGAGTCACTCCAAAATTCATAGCCTGAAGCCCTAACCTCAGTGTGGCTGTATTTGGAGTAAGGAAGTCATTAAGGTTCAATGAGACCATAAATATGGAGCTCTGGTCTGATGGGACTAATGTCCTTATAGGAAGAGAAGCCAGAGCTCTTGTTTGCATGCTCTCTCTCCACCTCCATATCCGTTTCCACCCACTTCCCTGCTCCTCTCCTGCTTTACCTGCGTCTCTTCTTAGCTCCCTCAGATGCTCCAAAAGAGGTCATGATGACGTATCAAGAATGCAAGAAAGCAGCCATCTGGAAACCAAATGAGAGCGTTCATCAGAAACCAAACCAGTCAGCACTCCGATCTTGTGCTTCCAGCCTTCAGAACTGTGAGAAAATACATTTCTGTGGTTTAAGCCACCCAGTCTGTGGTATTTTGTTATGGCAGCCCAAGCAGATGAATACACTGTTTTTACTTAATTATTTTTATTTTCAATCGTTTTGGGGAGTACAGAACCAAACATGTGGTTTTGGGTTACATGGATAAGTTCTTTAGCGGTGATTTCTGAGATTTTGGTGCACCTGTCACCCAAGCCGTGTACACTGTACCCAATATGTAGGATTTTATCCTTCACCCCCCTCCTGCCCTTCCCCCTGAGTCTCCAAGGTCCGTTATATCCTTCTCATGTCTTTGTATCCTCATAGCTTAGCTCTCTTGTATAAGAGAGGACATACAGTATTTAGTTTTTCATTTCTGAGTTATTCTAATAAGAATAATGGCCTCCAGCTCTGAGCAAGTTGCTGCAAAGGCCATTATTTCATATCATTTTGTGGCTGAGTAGTATTTCATGGTATATATATACATTTTGTTTATCCACTCATTGGTTGATGGGCATTTAGGTTGGTTTCATATTTTTGTGACTACAAATTATAGTACACTGTTTTACATTATGTAAAGTTTACCTATTTAAAAGCAAGGCAATTTTTTTCTAATAATATCAGCAATAAACTGTATTGACATCCACATGAAATTCAGGGCAATTTTCACACTTATTTATTTTAAACCAATACTGGCTGTTATTGATCTGAAAACTGAGATGAATATTTTTTATTTTAGGTTACAAATCTTACATGTCAAGATATAAAATTATGTTTGCATTCTGGTTTATAACCATAAGAATTATTCAGATAAAAATAGTTTAAATGGCATTGTATGCTACTCATCAGTCCTTCTATCCTTTGGCCCAATGGCAAAACTTAGCCAGTGCCACTGAAGGTGGTATATGTGGTCTGAGGCTATGACAGGCAGGTGTGGCTGTGTCTAGGATCTGCAGAGGGGCTCTCTGTAGGGTGAACCTGCAAAACTCCCTCTAGACTGAGTCCTACAGCAGCACATTCTTACTATGAGGCACTCACTGTCACTGATCCATGGGAAGTTTTTGGAGGATGGGGCTGGGAAAGGGGAGAAACAGGAAACATGACAGGAAAATACAAAAGGAAACTGTGCTCCAGGAGGCCAGGGCCCCTCCTTGGGACCCTGTACATTGGATAATCTAGGAGAAGAGTGCTACCCTCTGAGAGCAGAGAGACCAATTTTGTTTTCTGGAACCCTGTGGCAGGATCCAATTGTAAGCAATTGAAATGCAGCACCAATGCATCTGCCTTCCACTCCTTAGCAAAGTGCCTCCTGCCATTTAAGGATAACAGAATCATTTCTCTTCAACACCTTCCCATTTCCAGTGTTAGGAAAGTATCCTGGACTAATGCATCTAGCTTTTCGTATTAGCCATGGGAAAGGGGGTCAGCTCGCTAAGGCCACAATCTCTACTCAGAGGACAGATTGTAACAGATGCATGTCTGGTTGATTATTTTCTAGTTATATCACTTTTGCAGCTTTTCTACTTTGGAGTTCCTCAGTGTGATTTATCAGAGTGCATTCTGTGGATACTCCCCCATAAAGGGCTGTAGGAAGTCTACTTTCTAAGCCTTTTGATATGGTCTAGTTGTGTCCCCACCCCGAATCTCATCTTGAATTGTAGCTCCCATAATTCCCACTTATCGTGGGAGGGACCCCGGTGGGAGGTAATTGAATAATGAGGGTGGGTCTTTCCTGTACGGTTCTCATAATTGTGAATAAGTCTCATGAGATCTGATGTTTTATGAAAAGGAGTTTCCCTGCACAAGCTCTCTCTTCCCTACCACCATGTAAGATGTGACTTTGCTTCTCCTTTGCCTTCTACCATGATTGTGAGGCCTCCCCAGCCATGTGGAACTGTGAGTCCATTAAACCTCTTTTTCTTTATAAATGACCCAGTCTCAGGTATGTCTTTATTAGCAGCGTGAGAACAGACTAATACACCCTTCTATTGTCTCCAAACATAAATGAAGACCTAAAAGTATAGCACTCCTAGTCCACTGTTTGGTACAAAAGTGGTCTTTAATAATATTTGTCGAATAAATTACTGAATATAGAATTTTAAGTCATATGCTTTTCTATTTTTAACTCTGAAAAATTCTGATGTTAGGAAGAAGAAATCTGCATTCAGCATAATTTTTCTTTCTGTGTCATTGATCTAATTTTTCCACTTTAATACTTGAAGATTATTTCCTTTCCCTTCAAGTGTAAAACTTTCATCAGATGGGGTCTACGTGTTTGATTTTTTGTAAAGGAAATTTTGCTGCTATCCAGAATGCTCTTCAACTAGCAGATTGAGACCTTACATCCCAGAATTTCTTTTTTCCTATTATGCATTTAGTGTTGCTTTTTTGTCACTGTGTGTCTTTTCAAGGAACACAAATTACATGCAATTTCATGTTAATTATACCTATTTTATATCTTCTCTCAGATTATGTTTAACTCTTTGTCTTTCTTATTCATGAACATGGGGTGGTTTCTTAAGCTTTTTATCTGCTCTATTGATTCAATTTTCTACAGTATTGGTTCTGTTCAACTGATTCTAGTGTACATTATATTTCTATAATTAAACTTTTGCTTTTATTAAATACAAACTATTCCTAATTTAATTTGACTCTCCTTAGATTTTTGTTTGCCTCTTGGTCATATATTTTTAGTATCTGTCTATAGCCTTATAATCCAAGATTTCATACAGTTTTTATGAAAGATATGCTTTCTATTGGGATTATGAAAGTAGATACTTCAGAAATGTCTTTCTGCGGTGAATCGTGTGTTCTCATTTTGTATTATGTTTTCCTTCCCTTTTTTCTTTTGTTTTAAAATCTTTATTGGGCCTTTCTTTTTCTGTTTACTCATTGTAAATCATGTAAATTTTATCCACGTCTGGTACTTTACTGGATCAATTCTTGTGGAATCTGTTACTGCATGTCTTTAGTGACCTAATCTTTGACTTCAAAAATGTGCTTAAACCTAGGAAGAGAAGGAACTCAATCTAGTCCAGGGGACTTTAAATGCCTCCTGAGTTCAGAGACGTCTGCAGGGCTTAAAGCCAATAAGCTGTTCGGTATACTTTATTTGTGATTAGGGCCTTAAGTAAAGCATAATCTTCCTATCAAATTAAAATCTAATTGTTAAAAATACATGGGTTATTTTATTAAACACTTGGATATACTATTTGGTCCAAAAAGAAATACATAAGTTCAGACTGTATAAAAGGAGAATTTATTTTCAAGAAATTACTCTGAAATTATTCAGGGGTCACTATTCAGTGTGAATATTCACATAAAGAAATAACCTTTATGATAAACAATTAGAGTTCTATGGCACAGCTTCTCAGAATACATAATAACTACAGGTCAAGAAAGTGTGGTCATGGTTTAAACTGCATAAAATTTCAGCATCACTATTGCTTTTTATTAATCAAAAAGAAAGGATATGTGAGAATGTTATAATTTTATGAGATAATGAAGAGTTCACATAGAATTTATATTCATATCTATATATCTGTAAGAGTATCTCCATATACATCTACATCTATTTCTGTACTAAAAGATAAGCTGACATCAGTCTGAACTTGTGTGACTTTTAAACTCACCACTTTCTGTAACTTTTAGTAACACAGTGTTTTCAGGTAAAATATAGAACCACCACTTGAATATAAATTTCAGATAGACAATGGATAACTTTTTTCAGTATGAGTATGTCCAAATATCACATAGGACATATTATTTATCCTAATAAAACAGTTTATTTGAAATTTTAATTTAACTGTATATTCTATATTTTATTTGCTAAATATGGCATCCCATATTAGAATTGTTTTAAAAATCATTCAAAATGCTGCTTATAAATTTATATTTAAGTATATTCCAGTTATGAAATTGGAATGTAATCTTATCTTTCCAAATCTAATTTTGAATTAAGAAAATAGAATTTCTAATGGAAAAGCCCACTGACCTTTGGATTAAAGCAGGATGTCATGAATAGTCAATAATCTTGTATAACAGCATTCTCAATGAGATATGTTGTGCAAGAAAGATATAAAATTATATTCTTCTGATTCTGTAGGCTGTTTACTCTGTAGAGAGTTTCTTTTGTTGGTGCAGAAGCCTTTTAGTTTAATTAGATCCCATTTGTCAAATTTTGCTTTTGTTGCAATTGCTTTTGGCATCTTCATTATGAAATACTTACCTTTGCCTATGTCCTGAGTGGTATTGCCTAGGTTCTCTTCTGGGATTTTAATAGTTTTGGTTTTATTTGTAAGTTTTTAATCCATGTTGAGTTGATTTTTATATTGATATGTGGTATAGGAAAGGGGCCCCATTTGACTTTTTTACCTATTGCTAGCCAGTTCTCCCAGCATTTATTACACGGGGAATTCTTTACCCATTGCTTGTTTTGTCAGGTTTGTTAAAGATTAGACGGTTGTAGGTGTGCAGACTAAATGCCCATTAATGATAGACTGGATAAAGGAAATGTGGTACATATACACCATGGAATACTATGCAGCTATAAAAAAGAATGAGATCATGTCCTTTGCAGAGACATGGATGGAGCTGGGGGCCATTATCTTTATCAAACTAAAACGGGAACAGAAAACCAAATACCACTGTGAATATTCAGTGGCAGTAATTTACTCAAATTTGTGCTTTATTCTCTAGAAATCTTTCCTAGATCCTTCAAGCTACAGTGAATCTCTTCTCCTGGCTTCCATTTTGGCTTTTTTAGGGAAGAGAGGAATTTTTTGAGTGATTAGCTCAGAGTGCTTATATTAGTAATATTTTATATTACATCAGTAAATTTTGTGCCTATTTTGCAATAGGCACTATGAAGTTAGTTCACTATGGGACTATGAAGTTACACCATGAGATATTTGGTTCTCTAGATGGCTAGAAATGATAGTACCCAAAGAATGAAGGGAAAAAGAAGGAAATCAACTAAAGACATATATAGCAGGGTGGGTAAGGGCTCAGGTGGAGAGGACAAGCATAGGGGGTTGGAATCT